TAGCAATGACAAGACAGTCGTATGGTGGCGCCTGTACCAATAGTAGTTTAATTTCTGTTATTTTTAAAAGGCTGACTAAAAACAGGACAGTTGTGTCAGGCAGAGACACAGTTTATGCTGTAAACCACATGTATAAATATTTTGAGAATGTTTACAATTGAGAATCCCTGTCTCAGAGTCTGCCCTTATTGTTTAGCTTTTTGAAAGTACTGGAGGTTTGTCCAAACACCTAGGACAAGTAGGTCAATTCAGTCAGTGTGGTTCAGTATGAAGTGTGGACATCTCACAATGTGGTGTCCATTTCCTTTCCTACATTGTGGAGCGCCTGAAGTAGGGAGATTGCCACCAGTCACAGTCCACATGACCTTAACAAAAGCTAGTAATGGATGAAAAAACCTTGTTTGAGCAGCTGTGTGTGTGTGTACTGTAGCAGCAGCAGGTAATGCCGTGTCAAAGATGACAACAACCTGCTGTGTCCTCCACCCCTGGATTAATATTAGCAGAGGTAAACAGTCTTAATCTAACATTACGTGTATAACATACGTGTTTAGTTTGAATGTTTGCTCAGGCCGTTTAGAAACATGTTGACTGATGCTTATCAGGAAGCCTGTTGACTAAGCCTGGTGCTGCTCAGACAGTGTGTGTCCCTATGACTGAATGTTGTTCACAGGGATTGTTTTTCATCAGTACAGTATGAAGTGCCTAAGGACAGTGGATGTCACATCATGTGTGAAATGTTGAAGCCACGAAGGCAAACTGAATTTAAGCTATAGAAGTGAAATTGGTTTGATTGTATGTCCTAAAACGTTTTCTGACTATCTTACAGTCCTACTGGTGATTCTTCCACTTTCTAAGATTTTGTCCCAGGCCAGTTGTTAACAAGGGCAGCGAGTCTACTTTTGAACAGTGATTGAGTTTAAAACCGTAACGTGTGGGGGGAGGGGAAAGTTGGAGGGCTCAGAGAGTTCAGCCTAGTTTTACAACTTCATCCCTCCCTTCCCTGTGCTTAGGCAATGATCAATGGTCTGAGGCATGCTCTGTGGGGCAGGAGATGGGTGGGTGGGCTTATTTGGATGTGACCTCCTCCTCCGTGTTGTTTTACTTTAAAGCACTGTCTGTAGCATGCCAGCCTGGGTCACAGGGACCTTGTGAAACTGGGCATTGGCCCAGGTCTCAATTAAGCGCTGCTTTCTTTTTCCAGAAATGGCAGTAATATTCAAATGGGGATTTCTTTTAGAGGTACAGTGATTCTCTTTTTATCGTCTAATGGCCCTAAATCAACAAACTCTTTAGACTTGGATGAGGTGTGTGTTGTGGTCTGTGTTTGTTTCTATGGAGTAGTGAGATGACTTGACTGTATTTTCTTTTTCCTCTGTATTAAGGAAGTTCAACCTCCAGTGGAATTATTTGGATGGAAACACTGCTGACTTGTTTTTCTATCAGTTTTCCCACACTTTTACCAGTGCTGTATGAGAACCAGTCAAAACAATACCCCTCAGTAAAGACTTTTCATACAGCTGCAGACCTTTAACTTGTGTTTTATGCACAACACTGCCTTTATCACTGAAACCATTCAACGGAAAATGAAATGAAAAAGTATTACACAGCCTCAACGCGCCCTGTGTTTTATTTACACACAGAAGATAGCATCATCACTTCCTGGAAAATATTGAGGACTTATCAGGTTCTCCTCTATGCTAGATTTAATGAGAGTAAATCATACAACATGATACATTTAGATCAAAATCTATCTATCTATCTATCTCCAGGTCCATGGCTGTGGCTGCTCTAAGGTACAGTACAGCATATCTTAATTTGATGGTAATTTTACAAAGCCAGTGTTGGCCATAATTGAAATCCAGCCATAATAATTAGCATCCAACTTAACACATCAGCTTTCTCCAGCCTCCAGCTTTCCAAATCAGCTCAACTGTTTACTCATGTTTTGGTTCTATTTCATCTCATTATTTAATCCTTGTTCGACAGGTTTGTGCAAGATTACAAGAACATGTGTAGACAGATACATTTTCCAACAAGGATTCACAGTTTTAAAAAAAATAGCTTAGAGACATGCGTGGTAAGGCTTATATTTCAAGATATAGTACCAGGGCATATAAACCAGAGAATTACTAAAATCAACACAGTGATTTTTATTGGGTCACAGGAAATATATGATGCATTATTTACCACCAAAACCACCTCCACTGTACTTCTTGTTTGGCTTTGTTTAGGTTTTTTTTTTTTGTATGTGAATCAGATTCTTCTGAGTGGAAAGAATTATGAGTGGAAAATAGATCATGTAGCAGGTAGTCAAACAAATCAAAGGAAGCAGAGCTGCCATTTAAACAGTTTCATCTTGTGGGTTGTAATTTCAACATGTTCAAGTTGTTTGGGTGGACAGTTACAGTGTGACTTCACCATAGTCTAATCTGGCGCAACACACTGAACACACAGAACACTGGCACAGATACAGTTTTTTTTTCGTATGTCCATGTTCATAAGCTCCAAGTGTTAATTTGTTTGAAACTTTAATGTTTTTCATGTTCTTATTATGTTAGTAGAGGATGTACATCATACCCTAATATTGTAGAATTTATAACACTTCCTGCATTGAGCAACTTGTTTACAAATAAAGATGGTTGAAAACTTTCCAAAAGATTTTTCAGGTGCAACTCTTATCTCTCTGTATTCCTTGGAACAGTATTGGAGAGTTTAAACCTGTACATGAGAGGAAAATGACCAAGTGTGAGGTATTTATTTGATTCATGTAAAACACCCTAATATTAATCAGAAATCAGTATGCATACAGTACGAATGAGAATAATAAACACAAGTGCATATTTCAGGCATCAGCTTTTGAGTTCAAACATTAAAACCGTACTTGATATTTTCGTTTTTAACGACAATTTAATTTAAGTTGAACTTGCTATACCGCAGAAATGGCAAGTACAAATATTTGTATCTGCATAGTCCAGGTCTTTCAGGCAGCTGTACCGAGCCTTGCAGCAGTGGGCCTGAAGGATGTGTCAGCAGCCTGCATTTGAGAGACGTCGCCTGACGGAAGTGCATCTCTGGCAGATGTCCAGAACTACCCTCTCCATCCCCCACCTCCTCTCCCCTGACTCCTCCTCTCCCTTCCTGGTCTGTCTTCCTCTTTGTCTCTGAGCAAAGAGAACACAGAGTCCCTTTAAGACAGCCAAGGGAAAAAACATATGGAGGTGTTGCATCAAGGCCACTGCTCTTCCTTTGTGGTACAATGGTGTCATTGGTCTAAAAAAACAACATGTCACTTTGTACATCTGCAATACTTGCTTATTTACCACTGGCATTGTTGGAGCGCAGACATTTGTCAGTTTTTCAGTGACGATAATGAATTGTTATGCATATGGAGAACTCAATTTTCATGAGAAGTTAAAAAAAATCTGTTTGAGCCAGGAGGCTGTATATAAGTTATGTTTATATGTGTGTTTATGAGAAGGTGCTCAGAAAGCTGACCTGCATGGTTGTTGTTTTGCAAGTCTAACTGTGTGTGTGTATATATATATATATATATATATATATATATATATATATATATATATACATATATATATATATATTCATAAAGGGGGCGAGATTTCACTATTGTTTTTTTCTGGTACCAAACCGGTGACATGGCTGATTTCGACTAAACAATGACGACACATCATCATCCTATTCCATTTACTTATTTAAATGCTACTGTTGCTTACTGAAAAACGGAAGTGCTGTCAGACAGCAGAACTGAAAAATGTTCTTTCCATTCAGAAAATGAGGCTTGTCTGGGCTAACCGCTAGTTAATGCTAAAAGTTCCGTGGACCAATTGAATGACTACTGCATGCAGGGGTTTGGTGCCGTCACAATTGTGTTCTGGGAAGTTGGCTTTTAGTTTTGCTCTGCATCACCATAGTTACCACCCACAGACACTCAATTATCACACTTCTTTTTGTAACAAACAACCTGTGTGTGCGGTAAATGTGTGGTTAGAACAATGCTACATGTTTTAAATGAGATGCACACATAGACCAAATATTAGAACCAGATGTGGAAATTAGCTGGAAGGGCTCCACTTGTTCAAAATAAACTGAGATAAACTTTTTTTTTAATTAATACTATCAGGAAAATTGAATATTGGCAGTAATATGTAGAACAAATCTCATTTCTGTCAAAGAAGACCGTTAAAATGATAGTACGTAGTCTGTGAACACAGCCTTTCCCTTTTGCTTATGGTGTTATTTGAGGGCAGATTAGATATTGATCTTTTGGTATGTGCTTCCAATGCTGCAGCATACTACTTTGGCTGCTTTCAGCCCAAAACCCAGTTGTTCAATTCACTAATACAAAAATAACAACAACACCGTTCTGTATATTGTGTTCCACAGATCAATTGTAAGATATCCTTTGTGGTTTAAGTGTTTCTTGAAGACAAAAGACGATGTTATTAAGCTGTGATTCTTCTGGTGTTTTTAGAGCATAGACAGCTCTGTTGAGGCATTAGAGAACTTGAACGAACTCAAGCATGTTTTGTTGTATTTAAAGTTACAATTTGTTTTGTCACAATTGTTTGTTCCTTTGTCAGTCAAATTTTTGCTGACAAACTTACATACGGTACACGTATTGTTTAGCTTGGACCAAAGCAGTACCATTCACTACTGCAGTAGTGACAGGAGTTGCAGTATTGTTCTTTCTGTTCATGGAGAGATGTTAGAACAGGAAATACGTTATGAGGGACCAAACACCTGCTGCCACAGTCTCCAAAGCACGTGCACACACACACACACACTAACAAAAACACAAACAGACCACACAAACCACATTTGGGAAAAAACACTAAGCTGCTTTTGTTAGCAGATGTCACCAAACTGTTTGACTAGTAGTTTCTGCCACAAGTCCAGCTGTTGTACAACTGTCTATTTTGCGCTCATAAGTGCATGAGAGACTACAACGGTTTTCTAATGTTTCACTTCATTTATTTTAACAGGCATGGAAGAAGCGGTGGTTCATACTTCGCAGTGGCCGCATGAGCGGTGACCCCGACGTTCTCGAGTACTACAAGAATGACCACTCCAAAAAACCCATTCGAGTCATCGACCTTCATTGCTGCGAGCAGGTGGACGCTGGCCTGACTTTTAAGAGGAAGGAGTTCCAGGACAGCTACGTGTTTGACATCAAAACCTCTGACAGAATTTTTTATCTTGTGGCTGAGACGGAGGAAGAGATGAACAAGTGGGTCCGATCCATCTGCCAGCTGTGTGGGTTCAACCAGTCTGATGACAACCATGGTAGGAAAACCTGACCTGTTTTTGATACCCTGTAATTCTGCCTGCGATTCCTGCCTCCTGTTCTATCATGAGTTGATTTAGGCAAAGTGTTTAATGTTATCATATCTAAACAGAAGATGTAACCAAACTAGTCCTCAGCATCAAACTTTCTTTCTATTTGTTTTTTTTTTTTCTTCACATTATCCTGACAACACATTTTATTACACTGCAAGTAAAAAAAAACCCATCAAAAAACATTTCTTTATTATCAGTATTACTTGTGGGTTTTGGCCAAGATTAGATCAAAATGGCCATCTGTGCAGACCACAGAACAGTTGCACTTTTATTTTTAACGCCTACTTTACTTCATTGACTTAATTTAACAAACTACGTCTAAAATGCAACAGAATTCTGATCACCAGTATTAGACAAGAGAAAGAAAGGAAATGATTAAAACCCAACCAACCACATTTTGTCTTGTATCATTGTCATTGCACACATTGGACAAATGTACACAAGACACTGACTTTATGTTTAAATGTTTTGTCTCATATTCCTCATTGACCAGGGTTTAAAACAAATCCTTGATCGGTTTAGATCAAGTTCAACTATTTATTTTGGCCACTATGTGTCTTTTTCAATCTCCTCTATGTAATTTTCTGTGAAGAGTGAAGTAACAGCACCATAAAACACAGTAGATTAAAACAGCACATTTGATCGGATGCACTTACTGATACATTTATTTTCATGCCATAATGTTCATATGTAAAATACCCAGTAGTGGAGCAGAGCTGGCCGTTCACCTGCATGTCATAAATTGCTGTTTATGACCAAGTCTGTCCTCTGCTCCTGTCGTTAATTATCCACACAAAAACAAAAAGAAAAAAAAAACACATAATTTATAACTGTGCTTCAGTATAGTTACTCAAAACTGTTTTCACCCAGGCAGCAGTGAGTGGGATTTATTGGATTTTATATTGAAAAGGTAATGTTTTTATTACAACCTGACTGATTTATTGAATGGCTATTTAAATCAAACAGCATGTTTTTCAGTCTTGATTAATTTATTAATTTAGCGACACAGTTACAGAGTCAGACAGAAATGCTAAGATTTAGGTATAAAAATGTTTTTATTTATTTATTTATTTATAAATAATAAGTGTTCCTTGTGCCTCTGAGAGTATTCTGTGCAGTGTAAAACAGATAAACCTTTACTATCTGATATGCTCATCACCAATGCAGCATGGCCATGTTTTCAGTGTCACATCACAGTTTGTGTAAAATCCCCCTCGTTTTCATAACAGTTTGCTTTGGTTTTGTTTCCCCGTCGTCTGGCAGCTGCAGGACGTTAATCTGGGCTCACATGGCTGATCTTGTAACATGCACTGTGTCCAGGTGTGGAATTCATACTAAAATAAAAAACAGCTGTAGAGAGTTCAGTGGATGATAGTAAATATTGTGCACATCATGAAAGAGAATCACTCAGGCAGAGGTTCCACAACTAGCTAAAGGTTCTCTGGGGAACTCTGTTTTTGAGATTTGTCTCCAGTCAGGAGGGTGTGGCTGGGATTCAGCGCTGGAAGAAAAGAGAGTTTATGTCATGACAGCTGCTTTAGTGATGGTGGTCCCTTCGGTGTAAACACCACCACAGGTTATATCAGTCATCTCTCTCTCTGTTTTCACTTAAATGTCAACTGGCCATTTCTGTGAAGTTTTATCTTTCACTCTGAACCCTCCACATCCGGACAGAGTCAGTGTTCACATGCACAATCTACATGCAAAGTAAAAAAAATAGTAAAAATCAGTTTACAGGATCAGCGCAACGGAGAAGAAAAACTATTATAATATAATACTATTATATTTTACAGGATCAGCGCAACGGAGAAGAATAACTATTATAAGTTAAAACTAACTTCATTGCTGCCTGGAATGCAATATTAAGATTAGATTGATTGACAATCTATGTATACGGTTTCATTTTCTTTGTTTGTTTTTGATTATTTATCAAAATAAGGTATTTAAGTAAAAACCCACTTAGAATCAGGTCAGAGTTGAATAATATCAGCCTGTCTCACTGTCATTAGCCACATTTTTTCATTAAGTACATTTCTTATACATAGAGGATAATTGTTCATCCAGAACTATTGTAGTGTGTATTTATCACAACCCCTGCAGGAAAAAGAAAATGACCTACTGCAATAACATTGGGTTGTGTTGCTTCGCATTCTACTTTCGGCCTCCTGTGAACTGCACAACTCCAGTTGGCCAACACATCAGTTGCTAAGCATCTAGACTGGTTCTGCAGACACCAACCGACTCGAGGTCTGCAACACAAGTCATAACCTGCATTATAAGCTGTGATGTTATCAACAACGTCACCTCTGTCATCAGCTATGCGTGTCGCGTTGGAAATTGATTTACTGTGGACACACTCTTTACTCTCAAAGTAAAACAGTTGCCGCTTCTTAGTGGGAACTTTCTTACTCACACTTGGAATGCCACATTGGGTGCATTTTCTAAGAATTACAATGACTGGAAAACTCTTCTGCACAGGACAAACTATCAACATCAGTATAATTCAGAAGGGCACATTCATTAGGCATTTTATTACCCCGTGCGGAGAAAAAGAAAATGCCTTTGAGGCAACAATAAAAAAATTATATTTAAAATAAGTAGAACTTAGTTAGAAGTAGATCAACATTAACATGCACCCACACCTTAGCAGTAATCTATAAAGTACATTCCTTTGCTGCAAAACCAACTTTCTGTGACATACTTTCCCAATAATAACATAATGTTAAAACACATTTATCCTTCCTTGGAAAAAAATGACCTAGTTGTACTAACTTCCTGTGTGTATGACAATGGAACATCTTTCTCTAAAATGCCCCTGGTTACTATTGTCTTTAGGTCTTATGGCTAGTTTTGTGCACGACAAGGGCCTGTAAGTGTAAGTTTAAGTACTGGATGAATTTCTGTTACTGGTG